AAAATTATTCAAAACTTCACAGAATAGTACAACTATAAAATATATCGACTATGGTTAAAGATTCTAAGCTGACTAGATGTATATGTGAGAAAAAGGACAAATGAAGTAAATAGGAAGCAAAAAGAAATATGATATTATGACTAATAGTTACGTACTCATTTATATTCACAAAGGTATTTAGATAAATTGTCAGATGCGTTCAAATAAACAGATGTAATGCTTTAATTTCAGTGAAGAGGTATTTAATAAAGAGACAGTTCTTAAGTTGCATCTGTCCCTACATATTTCACTTTCTTATCAACGATCGAAACTCTTCTAGAGCAAAAAAAGAATCATACATTCAGTATGATTCATAGATCATAAATATTTCGAAAGACTGAAAATAGTTGTGACATGACTCGCAGTGATCTATTAGCGCTAGTTTCTACATCATAAAATTTCTTTTTTCATCGTAACTACAAGTTATCTAAATGACTCTTATGTATCAATTCATTTCAATCAAATCATATATAAACTATCAGTAGTAGATACTTCAATTCTTTCATTTTGTTTCAATAATAAAAGTGTTGCTCTGGCAAATTAATGGTGTCATCAATCTGCATATTTTCGTCATCGCAACATGTATGTAATCAAAGATTATGACTATACCTCTAAGCAAGTTTTAATAAGTAACTTCCCTTTCGAAAACATGCAGCATGACATCTGGTTTGTCTTTACATATACCGTATCGATGAAATGAAAAGAAAAGGACTGATCCAACTATGATGTCATCTATTGCTCAACCTTTATTCTCTCACCTCCTATTGATTATAGAATTTTCTTAAGTAGGGTTAATATTGGTATAGATTTTTTCGTCAAAGTTATAAAAATTTACTATCGATCGATGATATAATAAGACATGATGATTTGTATGTTGAAGGAATTTATATTGAATAGATTGATAAATATAATCATATGATATATTAACTATGAAAAGAAGATTTTGAAATTATAATCATTACTATCAATTAATTCAAGTATGTTTACTAATGAAAATTGCAATGATAGGATTCTCAAGAGTAGTTGTTGTTTATCTCTTAACAATCTGTTTAAAAATTAGTTTTGTTATTTATACATATGTGTCTAATTAGAAATCAGTAATGTGATTGATTTGTTCAACCAAGAACTATTATATCAGAATTAGATACATTAAAATCTTGAGTTTTATATTTAAAAAAACTGTATATAATCGGCAGGTGTACTCCAAACTTTATGTTGTAATATTAAAATGGATTTACAGTAGAAAATGTAAAGACCAGACAGGTATCGTGATCGCACGTATGCCAGCAAAGTTACTTTTATAACTTCTCAAAAGGTAATTGATCAAAGAAACTGATTATATACATGTTGCGATGACGAACTTGTGTGGATTAGTTGGCCAATACTGATCTGCCAGAGCGACATTTTTTCGATATTGTTAAAGTATAATTTACAACTGACAGAAACAAAAATGTTATTTAAATATGAAATCGATATTGATGAGCAATTATTGTAAGATGTTGACTCATCTATGTAAACGATACTATTATGCTCTACAACACAGAATAATACATTTTTTCGTTTCTTCACTTCTTTATTATTTGATGATGTTTTTTTTCGACAATTACCAAAAGTAATATGCAATATATAATACGACATTGTGATCTATGGCTTTTATGTCAGAAATATTTGATTTCGTTCTATGAAAAGATATTACATTTCTTTTAGATTCAGGGTTGATATTTAATTAATTAGAAAATAAATTTTTATGATAACAATTTGTCATTATATTTATATTAAATTTTATTTATCTGACTGTCTTTTCACTTTGCATAGAATACAATAATAAAGATAAAATGATAAGTTCTATACACTGTAGATTGTGAACTAATATATATTTACTATGCTGTTCAATAAAATATTTCATAGTTTAATTCAAATCAACTCAAATAATAGTTAAAGTTTATGAATTAAATATCTATCGATTAGTTAGAACAAAGGAAAATCACTAAAGTAAATATGAATTAACATTTGTCGGATTGTGGATGTTTCCTCATCACTACACGCTCAAGATGACTAGACTCAAATAAGTATGAGAAAGTGTTTCTTTTAATTTCTTGAACTTGTCTGAAAGACAAAAGCACATTTGAACAGTTCTATATTATGTACTGCTCTTCATCGATGGCTCTGTATTAATCGCTGTGATTAAGATGATTGGTAGACAAACTTTTCTTATCGATGTTCAAGGCTTAGAATTGTCGCTGGCAGAATTAGTTATAGAAGAAATCTCAATCAATTATCTAGACCTCAAGGAGTAGTTGTTGATCATCTCGGTCACATCTATGTCGCAGATGGTGAAAATCGTCGAGTAATGCGTTGGTGTGAAGGAAAAGAAGAAGGTGAAATTGTTGTTGGTGAAAATGGTTTAGGAAAGCGATCAAACCAATTGTATCTTCCCTGTGGTTTATCTTTTGATGATGAAGGAAATCTTTATGTTGCTGATTCGGGAAATTATCGAATTCAAAAATTTGAAATAATTCTATGAATAAAATTTTTTATTAAAGAAAAAAATCGACAAATAAAATTTCAAGAAAAAGAAATATTTTGATTTCTTTTTTCAACATTGCATTTTGCACAAGAGAAGAAAAGAAAATAATGAGATGTGGGTGTCCTCTTTAGATTAACAAGGGACACACAGACGTATTTATATCTTCAATATTCTGAGTAGTCACAGTTATTCGTCTTTTGATATAAAGTACTAATTAACATAACAATAGCAAGCGCATGAGGATCTTTATGAACAATTAATGGAGAAATAAACGTAATTCGTATTCATGTATCAATAGAATAAAGGGTAAAAAATGTGTGGGTACCATCTTCGATCCATATCCATCGTCAAGACATGGGCAGTTTTAAAAGATTATATATAGTTGTTGTCTTACTCTTATTTAATTATGAGAAAATGGATTTATTTTCTGGCGAATAATCTTCAAAAACGCCTACTGTTTTATAATATAATCATTTCCTATTAATAATAAAGATATATTTAAAAGGTATTTCTCTACTCGACGCCCTTTTGTGTTTTGTCTTAAATTAATTAATATTTTTTTCATATATTCAATGACGTAGTTTTATATTGACAGACAAAGACATAATATGCTTATGGTATTACAGAGAATTATTTTGCTTTCTAGACTAGATTATTAAAATCTGATGGCAATATAATGATTACATTTTACACCCGACAACCTCAAATGAAGCTGAATACTGAATTTGGCTTAACCGCCTTGCTTTTTGTCACACAAAGGATAGACACAGTTTACAAGTAAATTTATCTTTCTTTTTGATGGAGTGAACGTCGTGGGCTGAAGATCATTTATAAACTCGTCCTTTGTTACTTATCAGTTTCTTCTTATTCTTCGTACTCCGCAGAAGATTTTCTGAGTTTTCAATAGACTGTATCTGGATGTTTATACCATATTTGAATTTAATATTTTGTTTTCCCTATTTATGTAGATATTCATAGAATAGAATGTCGACGATTACTACTCTTATTCTTATCCAAAATGTTATGACTCGTTATTTATTGCCGACGATTCTTGCATTGGGCAATTTAGGAAACTTATTTACGATTGCGATTTATACACAAAAAAATCATCGGAAAAATTCCTGCTCAATCTATCTAATAGGTGTGTCTTGTTTCTCTTTATTGGGTTCTAATTGGGCAATAGCTCCAGTAGTGTATGCACTCGATAACTTCGATATGATAAACAGATCAACAGTATTATGTCGTATCCGTGGTTATATTATACATACTAGTTCAATGTCCTTTCGTTATCTGCTTGTACTTTTATGTGCCGATCGATATGCACTGTGTAATAAGCGTGTCTTCATTCGAGCGCTAAGTCGACCGCAAATTGCATATCGATCAG